CCGCAGGACCCACCAGTAGCCCTCGAAAGTGGCGACAGCGTCGCAGATCGCAGCCCCCCAGGGACGGCGAGGTCCCGCTCAGGTCTGCGCGGTGCCTCATTCCGCTGGACCCACCAGCAGCCTTCGAAAGTGGCGACAGTGTCGCAGATAGCAGCCCCCCAGGGACGGCGAGGTCCCGTTCAGGTCCGCGCGGTGCCTCACTCCGCTGGACCCACCAGCAGCACTCGAAAGTGGCAAAATGTTCGCAGATCGCAGCCCCCCCCCGGGACGGCGAGGTCTCGCTCAGACCTGCGCGGTGCCTCACTCCGCTGGACCCACCAGCAGCCCTCGAAAGTGGCGACGGTGTCGCAGATCGTAGCCCCCCAGGGACGGCGAGGTCTCGCTCAGGCCTGCGCGGTGCTACATTCTGCTGGACCCACCAGCAGCCCTCGAAAGTGGCGACAGTGTCGCAGATCGCAGCCCCCCAGGGACGGCGAGGACCCGCTCAGGTCCGCGCGGTGCCTCACTCCGCTGGACCCACCAGCAGCCCTCGAAAGTGGCGACAGATTCGCAGATCGCAGCCCCACCCCCCCAGGGACGGCGAGGCCTCGCGGGAAACAGGAGGCGGGAGGCAGGAGGCGGGAGAGGAGGAAGTGACGCGACCGCGGTGCTCTATTCAAAACGAATACCCAACCAAGGAGGGTTGGGAGTAATGTGTGCCTCCTCGCCGAGGCCATATTGGACTTTCCAATCGGTCGCGGCCCCCACCGCCGAGGTCCAGGGAAGGGGGCAGGGGGAGGAGTCGAGACACCCCTCCCCGCCCGCAAGCCGTCTCGCTCACTCCCACCCGCCCTCCCAACACATAATCAGCACCCGAGCCGCAGCGTGTTCGCTGGTCGACTTTGGATGGACAGCTACGCTGTAGGCCTCCTAGATGGGGTCCGAGTAGATGGGGTCGGGGGATCGCGCCGCATCGCCGATGCATCGCCGACGCGGCTCGATGTGAAGCCTGATTTGTTTCACGTCGACGTCGCCGATGCATCGCCGACGTCGACGACGCATCGCCAGCGCATCGCCGATGCATCGTCGATGTATCGGCGATGCGGCGCGATCCTCCGACCCCATCGACTCCGACCCCATCTAGGAGGCCTCTATACGCGACGCTGGGGCGAGGTGCGCCACGCGCGCCAGGTTCGCCAGGCACCCCTGGGGCACAAGCGTGCCAGGCCACGTGCGCCCTGCGTGCCGCATGCTCCACCCGCGCCAGGTGCGCCATGCTGAGGGCACGCGCAGAGTGTGCCCAGGTGCGCCCGCGCACTTGACAGCACACACCCAGAAATATGTCGGCCCCCACACAGCAGGCAGTATGCCAGGCACCCCCGCCGCTTTTGTCAAAAACAGTGCCAGGTGATCGCGGGGTGCCCGCGCATGATGCAGATTTTGCCGCGAAGTACACGTTCTATTGTTCCCAACCATCCTGAGGCGTCGGGTCCTCGTTTTGAAGAGACAGCGCCCCGCGTTCTTTCTTGCCTTCTTCGTCCCCCTCCTTCCTCCCTCCTATCTCTGCCTCCGCCCTCTGAATGTCCATGTCGACACACCCCTCCCACGCTTCGTGGCCCCATAGGGGGCTCCACCTAAGGCCCCAGCAGGAGGTTTCGCATGGCACCGCCGCCCCATGTCGGCACACCCCTCACACGTGAGGCCCCAGGGGGAAGGGTTCGCATGGCACCGCCACCCAATTTCGGCACACCCCTCACACGTTTCGTAGTCCCATAGGGAGCTCGACCTGAGGCCCAGGTCAGAAGGTTCGCATGGCACCGCCACCCCATTCGTGGCCCCACAGGGAGCTCCACCTATGGCAACAGCGGGAGGGTTCGCATGGCACCGCCGCCTCATGTCGGCACACCCCTCACACGTTTCGTGGCCCCAGAGGGAGCTCCACCCGAGGCCCAAGTCGGAAGGTTCGCATGGCACCGCCGCCCCATGTCGGCACCCCCCACACCTTTCGTGGCCCCAGAGAGAGCTCCATCCAAGGCCTCAGTGGGTGGGTTCGCTTGGCACCGCCGCCACATTTCGGCACACCACTCACCCGCGTGGCGGCCCTGCGCCATCTCGGCACACCCTTCACACGCTTCGTGGCACCACGAGGAGATCCACCGAAGGCCATACTCACAACGACGGAACTCACACCTGCATATGGTTGGGTACTTCGCCAGGATATGTTTGACAGGGATGGTAACTTTGCGCAAAGCCGGCAATATGCGGGCACACCCGCCGCCCTTTTCAATTACCCGGGCGGCGTACCCAACCCTTGCGCAGTGTAAGGCAGGAGTAGATTGGGAGATTTGGTGAGAGGGCGACGACGTGATATGGACGCATATACTTCTGTGAGCGGCACTCGGGAGGTTCGCAGGTCCCCGATCAGGGGAAAAGCGTGGTAGGGATGAGTATCGAAGTGAACCCTTGAGTCACTAAGGCAAGGTCCAAACTGAGAAGGCGGGCAACGGGCTTGAAACGTCGGCGGGGAAGCAACGACATGGCATGGCTCCTCCGTACCAAACTTCCCACGCGACGACGCATGCGCGGTGCCTCACTCCGCTGGACCCACCAGCAGCCCTCGAAAGTGGCGACAGCGTCGCAGATCGCAGCCCCCCAAGGTCGCAGATCGCAGCCCCCCAGGGACGGCGAGGTCCCGCTCAGGTCTGCGCGGTGCCTCACTCCGCTGGACCCACCAGCAGCCCTCGAAAGTGGCGACAGCGTAGCAGATCGCAGCTCCCCAGGGACGGCGAGATCCCTTTCAGGTTTGCGCGGTGCCTCACCCCGCTGGACCCACCAGCAGCCCTCGAAAGTGGCGACGGTTTCGCAGATCGCAGCCCCCCCAGGGACGGCGAGGTCCCTTTCGGGTTTGCGCGGTGCTTCATCCCGCTGGACCCACCAGCAGCCCTCGAAAGTGGCGACAGTTTTGCAGATCGCAGCCCCCCAGGGACGGCGAGGTCCCGCTCAGATTTATGCAGTGCCTCACCCCGCTGAGCCCACCAGCAGCCCTCGAAAGTGGCGACAGTGTCGCAGATCGCAGCCCCCACCCCAGGGACGGCGAGGTCTCGCGGGAGACAGAAGGCGGGAGGCAGGAGGCGGGAGGCGGGAGGAGGACGCGACCGCAGTGCTCCTATTCAAAACGAATACCCAACCAAAAGGGTTGGGAGAAACAATACAAAGTGGTCGCGGACCACGCAAGCATGACCCAAGATTTTGACCCAAAGTGGATTCCACATTGTTTTTTAACAGGGATGGTGGAAGGGGGGTATGGGTCCTGGTGGAATGCCGGTCGCCTGGAGGGGGTGTTCATTAACACGTAACAGTCATCAAGACATTTGCTGCTCACTAGGCGCAAGCCGTCTCGCTCACTCCCACCCGCCCTCCCAACGCAGAAGTAGCACTCGAGTACCCGTGCCAAAACCTAATCAACGTGGTCGCGGTGCGCCCGCGCATGCTCCAGATTTGGAAGCAACGTGTATCTTGCATTGTACGTTGAAAAGGTTTGTTGGCCTTCGCGCAGCAGGCAATGTGAGGGCCCCCCCGCTGTCCCTGTCAAAAACCATGCGCAAAGTGGTCGTGGAGCGACTGCGCATGCTCCAAAATCCGGCGGCAATGTGTATATGGTTGTGTTTTGTTGACAAGAATGCTTAGCTTGCGCACAGATAGCAATATGAGGTCCCTCCCACGGACCCTGTCAAAAACCATGCACAGCGGTGGGGGGGTCGGCATGGGTTCGGGTTGATTCCCAGTCGCCTGGGGGAGGGGATGCTTACTCGTAGGGAACAGTGATAGACCCATCCCCGAAGCACAAGACAGGGGGTTGGAAGAGGAAACGCCTGAACCACTCACGCCCGAAAGGGCTGGTGGGATTTAGCCCTCCCATCTGCCCCCCTCCCCCGCCCCTCCCTCACTCTTCCCTTCCCTTCCTTCTCCTTCATTGCATTGCCCTGCTCCGGCGCGCGGGCCGCGCGAAGAGCGCCACGGTAGGCTTCGCGACGGCAGCCCTCCTCCTCCCCCTTCCACCTCCTCCTCCTCCTCCTCCTCCTCCTCCTCCTCCTCCTCCATTCCTTCTCCTTATAGATAACACATCCATGTCGCACCCCGAGGCCAGTTTTTAGGGCGGGCCGGGCGTTTCGCCTGAGACTTCCTCACCATTTATGATTCTGAAGCTGAAAGGTGGCAACAGTTTCACAGATGGAGGGCGGGTGGTTTTCAAACTGTGGCTCTCGCCTTCGCGCCGCGCACACTCTTTCTAAAAATTGCAGGAGTTTCACGGATTGGAGGAGGGTTTCAAAACGTGGTTCTCGCTTTAACGCCGCGCACATTCGTTTAAAAAGTTGCCGGAGTTTTACGGATGGGGGACGGGTCGTTTTCAAAATATGGTTCTCGCTTTAACGCCGCGCACAGTCGTTTTAGAAAATTGCAAGAGCTTCACGGATTGAGGCGGTTTCTTTTCAAAATGTGGTTCTCGCCTCAGCGCGGCGCACATTCGTTTCAACAAGTTGCAAGAGTTCCATTGGTTCCCATTATCACATACCCGAAAATTGTGTTTTGGAAGGATTCTGGATTATGCGGTCGCAACAGTTATATTGGTTCGCAGTGTTGAGGTACCAAAAAATAGCGTTGTGGCACGATTCTGGATCGTCAAGACGCTGCAGTCAGGTTGATACGTGGCGTTGGAATCCCGAGAACAATGTTTTGGCACCCTTCAGGATCTTCAAACTGTTGTCTTCCAACGAGCCAGCTCCCTCAATGGAAATGAACCGTTGTAGGGGCCTATGAAGAGGGAGCTTGGAGGGAGGGTTAATTCCAACATCGTTGATGACTCTTGGGTCTCCACTGGTCCTTCTCCTCCTCCTCCTCCTCCTCCTCCTCCTCCTCCTCCTCCTCCTCACGCATGTCACACCAGCCTCATGGTGTTGTCTCATGGCGCGGACGTGTTGTCTCATGGTGTTGACAAAGCGGCTTCCCCACGCCATGCGCAGGGCGCGAAGTTCAGAAGAACGAGCAGGTCTGGGCCTTCATCGATTGGCAGTGTTTGGTGTTGTTGCGGCCATGGCGGAAGACAAAACAGCTGGAACATTCGCACAGGGGCGATCATCAAAAGTTGCACAGCGTGCACTGTGAAAGAGCACCGTGGACGGGGTTGAACATGAAGGTGGTTGCCGAAGGAGATTTGTCTCGGGTGCAAGTGCAATACAGATTGATGCGGCATTGCTTCAATGACACATGACAGCTGAACGTTGCTCTGTGGATGTAGAGTGGTGAGGCACATGTGTTGCGGCTTGTTGGAGACATGGGGCATTATGCAGCCGGTGCCCACTCACTCTGTCTTGAGACAAGTTTCCTCATGACAAGGAACACGGAATTGTTGTTGGGTGTCCTCTGGATTCTGTACATGCCGATTACTGATGGTCATCCAGAACCTGCGTAGCCACGATTGCGCTTCGTTCCTGAGGATTTGCGCTCACGTGGATTCTCGATGGAGGGACAAGAAGTCACGCCATTGGCCACAATCCCGAAATTTAACGCAAGAGTTTGAGTAAGTACATGTTGTCTTCAAGGTGTTTCTTCAATATTGCGAAGAAGAGTTGTGATAAATATCTGCTCAACCAAGGCCCGCAGAGGTAGCGCCGGCAAGGACGGCCACGACGCATGTGTTGTCCTTTTTTGTTAGTGCCTAGTTGAACTGCTATCATGATCGTACGTTGGAGAGTCACGACTTATGTTGTGTTGCACGGTGCGAGCATTCATCGTAAACCAAGGGTGCTATTGATCAGACGTGGCTTTCATGAAACAACTTTCTTTGCTGTTTTACAGTCCCGTGCACCGTTGCCTCCTGCGTGACCATTCCGTACTTTGATTGTAGAGGGCCAGTTTATTTGACGCGTGTTTCTTTGACCGTGAGCGATGATCGGGGTATCCGGGAAAGCAGAGGAACGGGAGGCTTGTCGGAAGCATGTTTATCTTAACCATCTCAGCCACCCTAATTCATGACGTCTTTTGTGGGTGTGCGGGTGTCGGCCCACGTTCCCATTGCATGTGCGCAGCATTCATGGTTGTTTTTTCGTCTCTAGATTTTCATGTGTAGAGTATATTGTTGTTTCCGTGGCATTCCGGTTCAGGCAAAAGTTTGACGTTCAGAGTGCCACCATCTGCCAGCAGCCCCCATTCTTGATTGGTTTGTTGGCTAGCGGGGTGGATGTCTAATGATTGGATGGTTGGTTGGTTGGTTGGTTGCATGGCCGGTTGCTTGCTTGGTCGGTTCGTTGGTTGGTTTGCTGGTGGTTCCAATGGCGGCCTGTTTTGTTGGTTGGCTGGCTGGTTAGTTTACAGCCATTGTTGGCTGAACGTACGGGTGACCCTTCGCCGGAGGACGTGCGCTTTCATATAGGGTACTTGTGTGTCCTTGCCTCTGCGGCTCGTCTATGGCCGTATCCACTGGTCTACCGCCGCCCAAAAAAAACAATTTCGGGCTTCAAGGGTCTCGCGTCCTCACCACCCGTCCTGAATACACGTTTTGTGTGTACGTGTAGCCGACTTCGGGGGAGAAAGGACCGGTGGTGGTGGTCACTGCATACGGGAAGACCCGAGCAGAGCAACACGCACCACGACGACGACGACGACGACGACGACGACGACGACGACGACGGAGACGAGGCGCGCTGACGATCCGCACCGAAGCACGGATTTGGGAAAGGGCCCACCCCGCAGCTTCGGTTGAACAGCACATCGTTGAGCGGTGCTGCAGGAGGACCAAGGGAGAGGAAGGGGCCAGGAAAAGATGGCGGCGGAGGGCGACCCCCAGGGTCAGGAGCAGTCGGGGACCAGGCTGGCGAAGAAGATCGGCAGCAGCGGAAGTCCGTCATTTCCAGTTGCGCAGGATCCTTTCGGTGCAGTGCACTTTTTGGCACACTCCGTCCTGCCAGGTATTGCGTGCCGTTTTTCGTGTTCCTCCATGGGAACACTCCGCGAGGTAATCCGCGAAGCCAAAAAAAACGGTGCGGGCACCCGTTGGGGAGCGAGAAATTGGGTAGGCCTGCTCTAGCATGGTGGAGTTCCCTTCCCATCAGTTGGGGAATTGGCGAAGGACCCAACCATATGCAATTGTTAGTACAGCAAGGCAGGTGGGACCAAGGAGGGGAAGCTCCTTATGAGGCCACGGGACATGTGAGGGGTATGCCAACATGATCGGGGGTAACATGTGGACACCGTCGCGAGGCTTTCGGTGGAGCTCCATGAAGGCAGGCTACGAAACGCGCGAAGGGCGTGCCGAAATGGGTCCAGGGAGACGCATGCGATCACAGCCACTGGGGCTTTCGGTGGAGCTCCTTGTGGGGCCTCGAAACGCTGTACTGGGCGGCGCGGACGCATGTGGTCACAGCCACTGGGGCCTTCGGTGGAACTCCCTGTGGGGCCACGAAACGCTGTATTGGGCGGCGCGAACGCATGTGGTCACAGCCACTGGGGCTTTCGGTGGAGCTCCTTGTGGGGCCACGAAACGCTGTACTTGGCGGCGCGCACGCATGGGGTCGCAGTCACTGGGGCCTTCGGTGGAGCTCCTTGTGGGGCCACGAAGATGGGGCCTTCGGTGGAGCTCCATGTGGGGCCACGAAACGCTGCACTAGGCTTTCTATGGGACCACGAAACGCTGTACTGGGTGGCCGTGACGCATGGGGTCACAGCCGCTGGGGCCTTCGGTGGAGCTCCCCGTGGGGCTACGAAATCCTGCATTGGGTGGCGCGGACGCATGTACTCCCAACCGTCGGAGCTTTCGGTGGGGCTCCATATGGGCCCACGAAACATTGTATTGTGTGGCGCTAACGCATGTGGTCACAGCCACTCGGGCCTTCGGTGAAGCTCCTTATGGGGCCACGAAATGCTGTACTGGGTGGCGCGGACGCATGTGGTCACAGCCACGTGCCTTCGGTGGAGCTCCTTGTAGGGCCACGAAAGGCTGTACTGGGTGGCGCGGACGCATGTGGTCACAGCCACTGGGGCTTTCGATGGAGCTCCCTGTGGGGCCACGAAACGCTGTATTGGGTGGCGCGGACGCATGTGGTCAGAGCCATTGGGGCCTTTGGTGGAGCTCCTTGTGGGGCCACGAAACGCTGCAATGGCTGCGCTAAGATGTTGGACAGTCGGAGGGCAGAGGCAGGGATGGGAGGAGGAGGAAGACGAGGAGGAGGAGGAAGAGGATAAGGAACGCGGGGCGCTGTCTCTTCAAAACGAAGACCCAAAACCACAGGACGGCTGGGAAAAACGAGACAGCAAAAACGCCGTACGCAGCTTGCCCTGCGAATTGCCCAGCTCGCGAGGGAGACGGCTGGCGCAGCCGCGCCCGCGGCCGGAAGGGCGCCGGCAAGGACGTCCGCCGCTCCCGCCCTCTCGGAGCTCGAGCGTTCGGGCCACAGGTCAGATGTCAGGGAAACGAAAGATGGATAGGGAGGAGGAGGGCGAAGACGAGGCACAAAATGAGGATGAGCAGCATATCTGGCAGCTATGCGAGAGAGAGAGAGAGGAAGTGGAGGAGCAGGAGAGGAAGGGGGTGGGCCGAAGAGGGGGAGGAGCGAGGAGTTGTGGGGAGGAGTGGAGGGGGAGGCAGGGGGAGGGGGGAAAGAGAGAGAGAGAGAACAGAACACCTCGCGCCATGGAGGAGGTCGACGAAAGGGAGGGAAAGGAGCAGCAGCAGGAAGGGAAGGGATAGAAAGAATGACTGGGAGGAGGAGGAGCAGGAGCAGGAGCAGGAGGAGGAGGACATAACACCTTACGCCCAGAAGGAGGAGGTGGACGAGGGCAAGGAGGATGAGGAGCGGGATGAAGAGAAGGACCAGGCGGGACAGGAAAACATGCGGGCAGGGAGGAGCGCATCATCCCACGCGCAGGATCAGAGAGGGGAGGAGGCCGTGAACGGCAAGGAGCGCGGGCCGTCGGTATTCAAACCCGGCCAGTGGCCCGTGGGCGTCGTGAGCAGCCCGCGAGGTCTGGCTCTGCAGAGCCTCTGCCTCCAGGGCCCCCGGCGCGTGCCCGAAGCTTTGATTTGCCGGGTCGCCTCAGTGCCCCTCGGTTCCCTCGCACGGTGCGCGCGCGCGCGGTGCTGACTGCGGCCATGCCAGCTCCGAGGGGCCGGGGGCCGGTCGAGGTGTCCCTGGCCCAGGGCGTCCCCCGCGTGTCGCTTCCTCTTGAGGCCCCGAGTGCCCTCTTGGGCCTCGTGGTGGGGTGCTCTCGAGGCCGTGGGGCCAGGGGGCACCTCCGGCAACACCCGAGAGGTGCGCCGTCACGGGCGACGCCCAGACACGGGAGAGTCCGCTTCCCGCAGGCGCACGAGAAAATTTGATACGTGCACGCCGCTGCCAGCTGATGGGTCTCGTTGATGGTGATGAGTGCAAGAGGTTCGAGGATGCGGGAGCAGCCGGACAGGCAGCATCGTTGATGATCGCGATTTAGAATTTCGCGAGACGTTGCCGTTGCACCGAGTCGTCCAACCACGAATGTCGCCGCGCTGCCAAATACCTTGCACAAGTGGCACAGCCCAGACGAGGAAGAAGACACAGGCCGTGCTTCCACTGCCCCCCGCTCACGCACCGGAACAGAGCGACTGGTCCCACACGCCAAAAAGAGATACGCCCACGGACCCACAGAAACCTCCGACCAGGAAAGGGTAGGCTCCGAGTCGAGTCTTGTGGCCGGAGGCTCCATCACCCTGGTCAATAATCCGTAAGGGCTTCGCCCCATGCCGCCGGCCCTCTGTCTCGGATAATGGGAGATGCAAAAGCGGAATCATGAGGTCTGGGCGCCGCCGTGAAGCAGTGTCGGGACCTGTTTGTTCTTCGACCCTGACCCTACGGATCTGCGGACCTCAGCAGCAAGACGCAGCTGAAACGGTGGAAACTGGCAGCTGCAACTGGCACGGGACACTGCGAACCTTCGGCCTACAGCCCGGTGGCCCCCTCGAGGGGGCCGGCGGATATCGATCCCTCAGGAGGGAAAAAAACACACAGACACAATTAATCGTCGATCTCCCAGACAATATGGGAAAATATGGGAAGTGGGGGGAAGACAAAAACCCAGAAAATACGATAAAAGATGGGGGATCCTTTTATTTGTGTGTATCTATTTGTGTGTCCCAGGGCCCCTTCAATCCCTCTCTCCCGATCCGTGCCCCGCCCCGTCGCAGCCTGGCTGCGCGCCGTGCCACACGCCGCCTCCGAGGAGGCCGCCGTGGACTTCGGCTGGAGCCGGTCTGCCGGCAAGGGCGCGGGCAACGGCAGGTCTGGCGGCGGCCGCAGGGGAGGCCCGGCGCGCCCACCTCTCCGCGAGGAGCTCTGTTTGCTTCGGGGGCGGAGAATCAGGAGGGGGAAAAACACACAGACACAACTGATCGTCGATTGTCGATTCCCGAGGTAATATGGGAAAATATGGAGAGTGGGGGGGGAAGGCGAAAACCCAGGGAATACGAGAAAATGTAGGGAATTATTCCCTACATAGGCTCTGCCTAGAAGGGTTCTTACTCTCTTAGCTTAAAGGGGCCGGGCAGTATAAAGCGCCCCGGGCGGTTCCCCCAGTCCCCTGGGAGCGGTTCCCCCAGTCCCCTGGGAGCTTTAGCTTTAGTTTTAGTTTTAGCTTTAGCTTAGCTGTAGCTTAGCTGTAGCTTAGTTTTAGCTTAGCTTCAGCTTAGCTTTAACTTAGCTTTAGCTTAGCTTTAGCTTAGATTTAGCTTAGTTGCAGCTTAGCTTTAGCTTAGCTTCATCTTAGCTTTACCTTAGTTTTAGCCTTAGCTTAGCTTTAGCTTAGCTTTAACTTAGCTTTATGTTGGCTTTAGCTTAGCTTTAGCTTAGCGTTAGCTTAGCGTTAGCTCTAGCTTAGCTTCAGCTTAGCTTTAATGTAGCTTTAGCTTAGCTTTAGCTTAGCTTTAGCTTTAGCTTTAGCTTAGCTTTAGCTTAGCTTTAGCTTAGCTTTAGCTTAACGTTAGCTTAGCCTTAGCTTAGCTTTAGCTTAGTTGTAGCTTAGTTTTAGCTTAGGTTTAGTTTAGCTTCATCTTAGCTTTACCTTAGCTTTAGCTTTAGCTTAGCTTTAGCTTAGCTTTAGTTTAGATTTAGCTTGGCGTTAGCTTAGTTTTAGCTTAGCGTTAGCTCAGCGTTTGTTTAGCTTAGCTTCAGCTTAGCTTTAACTTAGCTTCAGCTTAGCTTTAGCTTAGTTTTAGCTTAGATTTAGCTTAGCTTTAGCTTAGCTTTAGCTTAGCTTGAGCTTAACGTTAGCTTAGCTTTAGCTTAGCGTTAGCTTATATTTAGCTTATATTATATTTAGCTTAGCTGTGCCTTAGCTTTAGCTTAGCTTTATCTTAGCTTTAACTTAGCTTTTGCTTAGCTGCTTGCTTGGCTTTAGCTTAGCTTTAGCTTTGCTTTAGCTTAGCTTTACTGTTACTAATAATGCTGCTTTCCTAGGGGCCCCAAGTCCTAGGTAGGGTCGCACTGGGATAATTTGATGTGTGTGTATTTATTTGTGTGTCCCAGGGTCCATTCAGAAAAGAAGGGGGGATGACTGGGGGGGGTGATATCATGGCGTGGGCCACGATGATTCCCCAGATCTCATGGCGCCTCTTCTCATCTCTTTACGTCCCTGGCCTCCCCGCTGGGCCGCGCACATGACGCTGGTCATGATTTGCACCCCCCCCTTGGACACCCCCCTCTTAGCCGCTCCCGATTGGTGGTCGTTTTCTTATTTGTTGTTTTGCCGATCGGCGCGGGCCCTCGCACCCCCCCCCCTCCCCCCCCTCCCATGGAGTCGATCTGGGCTGTTCTTGGCGCCTGTTTCGAGCAGGTGGAGTCTCCCGAATGGGTCGAACGCTTCCGAACAGTCGCACTCGGCAGAGGCTCGCAGCCAGACACCCCCCCTCCCTCCCCCCCTGTGGCTCAATGCCGAAACGCCGAGCAAGGGAACGTTCACTTGCGTGTCTGCGGGCTTCGGCCAGGGCGGCTCTTGAAGAGCGGGGGAGAGGGGGCGCGGCGGCCCGCTGGGGACAAGGGAGGCTGGGGCACCCCTGGCCCTCGAGGGGCCCCCGTCCATCTTTCTGGGGCAGACCACGGCCTCGGCGGAGAGATCCCTTGGTCGCCATGCGCTGCCAATTTTTGCTGGCCCTCGGGGGATCCCTCGTTGCTCCAGTGCGCCGCACTCCGCTGGACCCCGCAGGGGAGCAGGAAGGTGGTGGCAGACGTGCGACCGACAGCACCCAGGGAGGGGCGAGGTGTGGTCCGGGTCTGGGTGGCGCGGTACTCTGCTGGCGCCCCCGGGTGTGCAGGAAAGCCCCGAGAGTTGCACGAGGGCGAGGGAAGAGAGAAGAGAGAGAGAGAGAGAAGAGAGAAGAAAAAGAGAGAGAGAGAGAGAAAAGCAAAAGGAAAAAAGAGAAGAAGCAGACGCGGAGAGGAAGAGAGAGGAGGGCAGGAGGGAGGAGGCACCAGGAGAAGGAAGAAAGGAAGGCAGGAAGTAAAGAGCAGCAAGTGTTTTACTCGAAAACAGAGGCCAACCACAAGGAGGGGTGGGAACGACATGCAGCGGTTCGAAACATGAGAGCGATCTTGGCTGGGTAGCGTTGGCTGGATGAGAGGGCAGTCGTTGGCAGACGCACCCTGTATTCTCTCCCCCTGCTACCCTTTGGTTTGAAATCTGCGATTGACTTGTCCGAGCTTCCATGCCTGGTACCCGTTGATGCCGAGGCGGCGGCAAGCAGCAGGGGGGCAACAGAGAGAAGGAGCCGTGCCTCCCTTTCCCACCATCCGCCTCCTCTGATCCTGAGCTCGATCATGCACGCAAGTGTGGTACCCCTCTTGGGCCCTACGCTCACTGCCCCACCGCTCCCGCCGTCTCGTCGTTTCCTTCTATCTCTCTCTCTCTCTCTCTCCCTCTCTCTCTCCCTCGTTCTCTCCCTCTCGCTCTCTCTCTCTCTCTCCCTCTCTCTCTCCCTCGTTCTCTCCCTCTCGCTCTCTCTCTCTCTCTCTTTCTCTCTCTCCCAAGTTCTCTCTGTCTCTGTGGGGGGGGGACGGGGACGGGGGGGGGAGGGCGGTCCACATCACCCAGGAGGCAACCGGGCCCGGGCAGGGGCACCTGGCCGGAGCCCCCCGCTGCCAGGCCATGCAGGCCGGCGCGAAGGCAGCAAAACGCCAGAGCGGGAGGCAGAGGAGGGGAGGAAGAGCTGGCACGTAGAATTTTCACTGCAGCGGGCAATACTAAAACGACGCGAAGATCGGAACAAAATCGGATCGGGATAACTCGAAATCTCTGAGAATCGGCGGGTTTGGAGGATGTATTGGGCGCCGCGGCCGCTCCAGAGCGTTCCAGAACGCTCTGAGAGCGCTCCAGAACGCTCTGGGGCGATTTATCCCGATCCTAGCCCTTTTTTTAAGTACCGTCCATAGTCTCCTTCTCTCTGGCTGTGTGCTTGACGCATCGTGCCTCTACTGAAAGAAAGAAAGAAAGAAAGAAAGAAAGAAAGAAAGAAAGAAAGAAAGAAAGAAAGGCAGAGCGGGAGGCAGAGCGGGAGGGAGAGTGTGTGTTTGTATGGTTTTTTACAAGGGATGGTGGGTGGGGCCTCATTGATTCGGGTTGGCTCTCAGTTGCCTGGGGGAGGGGGTGTATATTCATAGGGAATAGTGATAAACCCCTCCCCGGAGGGGAAGAAGGAGGGCTGGAAGGGGAAACGCTCCAAACCACCGACGCCCAGAGGGCCGGTGGGATTGGGGGCACGCGGGGCGCTGGCTGCGGCAGGGGCGGTCCCCCTGCAGGGCGGTCCCCTTGCAGGGCGGGGGGGGCGTGGATGCGGGGCGGCGGGCGTGCGGCAGAAGAGGCGGTGGTGGCCGTCGTTGCTGTGGTCGTGGTGGTGGTGGTGGCCGCCTCTTTCTCCCTCTCTTTCGCTCGCCTTCTTGTTTGTTCTCTCTCTCTCTTTCTCTCTCTCTCTCTCTCTCGTTCTCTCTATCTCTCTCTATCTCTATCTCTCTTTCTTTATTTATCCCCCCTTTTCTCTATGTATAGATACAGTGTGCTCTGTCGCGCTCTATGCATGTAGAGTGCACATCCACACACGCATGTGCAGATGCGTATATACAGCTGAGTGCGTATAAACACGTACACATGAGCATCCCTTTTCTACTTGTGCGCCTATGTGTGCGTTTGTCGCCTTATGTGTGTAGAGATGTACAGATCACCCACTAACTTCCTCGCCAACCATCCATGGTGGTCCCGTGTCCTGTGTATTTTCTTCCCTGCATATCATATATGACTTCAGGCGTCTTCCGCAGCTACCCCCTCCCCTGTCCCCCGCTCCGATTTGTTTGCCAAATGTATGTCCGCCCTGCCCGTTCCTTTCTTCCAAGCCCCCCTTTCCAGTCATCTCTCGTGCTTCTCGCCTTCGCCATATCGTCCTTACCATCATGTATTTCGCTATGTGAATGTAGTGTTTTCGTGTGTCAGATATCCTCGTTGCTGTGCTCACAGTCCGCTCTCGTAAGAGTTGGAGTCGTGCAACAGAGCCCTCGCGCCAGAGTCTTCAGCACAGGGGACCCAAGATAATGTCATTCAACTGGTGACCCTCGCTCGGCTGGCTTCTCCTTGCCATTGTGTGTTCAGCTCGGCTTGAAACAGGTTTGGTTTAGCTGATCACATTTGGGTATGAGCACTGGCCCCGCCCCTGGGTGCCAGATTTCCACAGGAGAACGCGCACTGGGCCTTCGGCAACCGTCGCACGTGTGCCGAGGCAGAGCGCTTCCATCATTTGTGGGAGCGAGGCTCGTCAGTGGACTGATGACGTCTCCGCATGATCCCGAGATGCTGGCCAGCGGCGTGACACATGACCGAAATAGCCGGCGCGTGCTAATGAACTGTCCAAGCTCGACGCCTTTTGTGCCCATTTGCATACGCGGGGCCTGTTCAGCTGCCGCAGCAGCGTATGCATCCACATAGCCATCATTGCCCCCATCTCCACGTCCATCATCGCTCTCGTTCCGTTCGTCCTCGGACGCACCCCATGGCGCAATGCAAAGCATATCGGCTCATACGTCTGACCCACGCGGTGGGCCAAGCGAATGTATGCGTCGACCCTCGGCCTCAAACGGACGAGCCCCATCGAGCGTGCGTCCAGCTACCGCAGCCCACGCGTGCACAAGGAAGGTGTTAAGCCCCAGCGGGCGCTCCCTGGAGCTCCCTCGGCATCTGACGCGCCTCAGACGAACGAGCCACCGAACGAGAGCCTGGGCGCCGAAGTCCTGGCCAGGGGCGCCGTCGATGAGCTTGTATGCCTAGGTGCCTGCACGTCGTTCAGCCCAAACCCCGCCCGGGAACTGCACACCGTTCAGCCTTCACCCGCCGGGGAAAAGCCAGACTTCGAGGACCCAGATCTCACCCTTGACCGACCATCGTGTGCGGGGGCCTCTGTAGCCATCTTGGGGCCGGGAGGGAGCGGTCAGGTGTCAGCACGATGAGGAGCGAGCACGGCTTGAGCATAAACAGCGCGTGTGTGCGTGGGGGGGGTCACGATGATCTGCATGTGGTCTCGAGAACGTGTTCCTTCTTTTGTTGCCGTAAAGCTCTCAGCTCACAAGTGCGCCGAGGTGAGGAGGGCGAGGGGGGCGTGTCGTCTTGATCCTAGATTATGCTGAGGTTCCGAGTTGCACGAGCCATGAATTCAGACGTTTCCAGTTGCGAATTGTGCTGGGCGAGAGTTGTACGCCCCCGTGTCAGCACCAAGAGCATGCAGAAGTGAGTACAGCTAGACATGGACGGTGAGTGTGATTATCGAAGGCGCATACGGCAACTCACCGCCAATCCCTGCCGTTTGGAAACGCCCATGCGGCCAAACGTTGGGCCGAAGTCTGGCCAAGCTATTGAATTACGTGTTCCCCCAGCCGTTGTGGAACCCCATTGGGGAAACAGTTGGGAGAGGAAGAGAGGGAGGAGGAGCAGGAGGAGGAGGAGGAGGAGGAGGAGGAGGAGGAGGACGAGGACGAGGACGAGGAGGAGGAGGAGGAGGCAGAAGAAGAGGAGGCCTCGTGAGGCCCTCTGGGGGCTTCCTGGGAGCCTCTTGGAGGCCTCTGAGGGGGCGCTTGGGGGCATCTTGGGGCCTCTTGAGTGCTTCTTGTGTGCTTCTGGGGGTCTCAAAGTGACCTCTTGACCTTCGGAGTCCGGCTTTGGACCCCCTTCTGGGCAGTCGTGGGTCCCTTTTGGGCGCTTCAGGATCGTGTTGGAAGTTTGGGAGACAGCCTTGCGGGCCTCTTGGGGGGCGATTGGCCCGTCTTGGGACGATCTTTGGGGCCGATGGGGCCGTCTTGAAGCGTCAGAAGCCCGACGAGACGAGCACGCTAAAATCAGTCGAAATTGATGAAGGCAACCCAGGTACCGTGGCGAAGGGCCGAACCAGTTGCAGTTGTAAGTACCGCAGTTGAAAGAGTTGTCATGGGTGGAGCCCCATATGGGGCCACGAAACGTGTGAGGGGTGTGCCGACACGGGCGCGGGTACGCCATGTGGATTGTGCCATTGTGACTTTCGGTGGAGCTCCGTATGGGGCCTCAGAACGTGTGAGGGGTGTGCTAAAGCGTGCGCGGGTACGCCGTGCACGACACGTGTGAGGGGTGTGCCGAATCGGGTGCGGGTACGGCATGCGGATTGTGCCGATGGAGCTGTCGGTGGAGCTCCCATTGGGGCCACAAAACGTGTGAGGGGTGTGCCGGGGCGTGTGCGGGTACGCCATGCGGACTGTGCCAGTGTAGCCTTCGGTGGAGCTCCTTATGGGGCCACGGAACGTGTGATGGTTGTGCCGGAGCGTGTGCAGGTACGTCATGCGGACTGTGCCGCTGGGGCGCTCGGTGGAGCTCCATATAGGGCCACGAAGCGTGTGCCGACTCGGGTGGTGGTACGCCATGTGGACTGTGCTTGTGGGGCCTTCGGTGGAGCTCCTCCTGGGGCCACCGAACGTGTGCGGGGTATGCCAAGTCGTATGCAGGTACGCCATGCAGTCTGTGCCGATGGGGCCTTCGATGCAGCCCCCTTGTGGGGCCACCGACCGTGCGAGGGGTGTGCCAAGTCGGATGCAGGTACGCCATGCGGGCTGTGCCACCAGGACCTTCGGTAGAGCTACCTATGAGGCCACGAGACGTGTGAAGGGTGTGTCGAAGCGTGTGCGGGTACGCCATGCGGACTGTGCCGCTGGGGCCTTCGGTGGAGCCCCGTGTGGGGCCACGAAACGTGTGAGGGGTGTGCCAGATCGGGTGCGGGCAATCTTTCGGTGGAGCCCCTCCTGGGGCCACCTTGTGAGGGGTGTGTCGAATCGGGTGCGGGTACGCCATGAAGATTACCTGCTGGGGCCTTCGGTGGAGCTCCCAATGTGGCCACGAAATGTGTGATAGGTGTGCCGAATCGGGTGCGGGATGCGGGTTGTGCCGATGGGGCTGTCGATGGAGCTCCCATTGGGGCCACACAAAAGGTGACGGGTGTGCCGAAGCGTGTGCGGGTACGCCATGCAGACTGTGCCACTGAGGCCTTCATTGGAGCTCCCTGTGGGGCCACGAAACGAGTGAGGGGTGTGCTGAAATGTAGAGGGCAGAGGCAGGGATGAGGAGGGAGGGGGCAGAGGGAGGGAGTGGAGCGCGGCGTCATCGGTAAAAGTTGGCGGCGAGCCCAGGGGGAAGTGAGAAGAGGCGGGCCTTTTCGCAAGGCTCGGAAGTCCCCCGGCCTTCTGAGAAGTTTTCTAACCCTTCCCCGAAGGCACAGAAAATGTCTCAGAAGGTGCGAGGGCTTCTGAGAAGTGCCGCCGCATTCTGAAGAGGCATTCTCCTTCCCACTTCCCCCCCTCGCTCGCCGCCGATAAAAACGAGGACCCAACACCACAGGATGGTTGGGAATGATCTTGGCCTCCTGAAGCCCTCTTGAAAACCCTCTCGGGGCGTCTTGTGGGTCTTTTGGACCATCTGGAGAACATCTTGAGCCGTCTTGGAGGCGTCTTGGGACCGCCTTGGAGACCAGCTTGGGACCGCCTTGAAGACCATCTTGGGACCGTCTTGGAGACCATCTTGAGACCGTCTTGGAGGCGTCTTGGCCATCTTGGCCGTCTCGGAGGCCATCGTGGCAGTCTTGGTGATGCTGTGGATGTACTCGTCTCTGCGCGCCTCTCTGGGTGGCCAGCGGGATCGGCCAAGACCCCCTTCTTGGAGTTGTTGCACACCGCCATGCCAGCAGTGCCAAAACCATGCCCAGAGAAGCAAACATTGCTGCAAGCACGTTGGCCTCGTGGGTAGGCCCCCGAAGCCTCGCAGACGGCCAGACAGGCCCCCAACGGAGCCCCAGGACGGCCCCGTGTGCCCATCTTACAGCATGTTGGAGGTCTGGAGTTCGACCCACGCTCTCAAGGCCTCCGGAATGTAGTACGAGAAGGCCTGAGAGCGCCTTGAAGCACCCGGTAGCGCCTCTCAAAGAGCATTTGCAAGATTCCATTAGAGAATTCCATCGGAGCTGAGGGCACTCCCCTCAGTGCTTCGCGGCACGGTGGTGGATTCTGGAGGTCTTTCGGGTGCCGATTCTGACCGCATTTTTCTGTTAATGGCGGTCTCGCCGCAGGAACCACCATCGGACACCAGAGCGCTCGAGATGTACAGCGCATCTTGCGCACATCCTGAGTCAAGTCCGACCCGTATTTTCTGTGCTTTTGCGCCCGGAGGGTGACCAGGCTTGTGTTCCTAGGCCTCCTGCAGGCACGGCAGCCACGCCTCCAGGCCCGACGCCCAGGCATGGATCGGGGAAACGCAATACTCGGGTTTGCCGACTTTTGACGGTCCCGCTTTCGTGGGACGTTTGCAGCGGGAGCCCGCGTCAAATGTTTCGGATTAGGTCTCGCCATCTTTATGATGGCCCCCGTGCCCGGGTCTTAGGTCTCCCTGCAGGGAGTCGGAAGCCGTGCAAGAGCTGCTAAATCCGTGACTGCTACAAGCGACCTCCGGGAAGTCGTCTTCGTCCTTCCGGGAAGAAGCCTGTTTACTGTTTCGCGTACCGTTTCGACCGGAAGAGGCTCGCTCTCGACCCGCGAATCAAAAAAATGTTTCGCGTGCCGCACCTCATTCCGGGAACCTGTTTTTTTCCTTCCGGGAGGGCCGTTTTAACAGCCACGGCTTTAGCCGCCCTCGCCCAGCTTCCGAGGGCCTGGCATCGCTCGGACGTGTGAATTTTTTTTCTCGGCGAGAACCATTGAGGACGATCCTGGACCATCGAGCGAAAGAAAACACGCACGAAACCGAAACATGCACGGGAAATGGACGTCGGAGCGATGGCGAGTGGGAGGCCCCACGTCCCTCGGGGCGCTGCTCGTGGCAGCCTCCGCGGGGGCCCGGGCCGGCGGCGTGTTCGGGAGGCCGCCGCGCGCCCCGCGCCCCGCAGAGGAGCTGCCCTCGGAGAAGGACCTCGACCAGGAGCGCCCGGGAGAGCTCCTCGGGGGCGGCCAGGAGTCGGGCGTGGCCAGGGCCCCTTGGGAAGGGGGCCCGGTGAGTGGTAGGGCCCCGGAGCCTTCGAATTGGCCAGAATCATGAAACCAGGTTTGCCATAGGTCGGGTGACGGCAGTTCCGGTTAGTGGAAATGGGACGGGGGGTCGCCCCCGGTACAGATCACTGAACCAGGTTCCATTAAACCCAGTTTTACCAACGCCCGAAAGAGGGGGTGATGCCCAGGGGGAGGGGATATTCCGCCAGGGGCCATGATTCGGCGGTGGATCAACCTCCTACCCTGACACGTCGATTAGCGAATTGGCCGTTTTCGGTTCGCGAGAGGGCGTCGCGGCCGTCATTTTTGCGGGTCCAGGTCCGTCGGTTTCGGTCCCAGGCCGTTTTCATTAAGGGGAGGTTTACTAAAGGGAGGTTTGTCTACCGCCGAATGATATCTCCCCAGATCTCATGGCGCCTCCTCTTATTTCACTACGTCCCTGCCCCCCCCCGGGCCGCGCACATGCCGCCAGCCATGCTTTGCGCCCCCCCTCTTGGACGCCCCCCTCTTGGCCGCCCCCGAGATCCGAGGTGCAGTGTCGAAACGGACAGAAGTCGAAGAGGGAAAAACGCCATAAACACTAACTGTCGTCGCTCCGCTCGGATCTCTTGGATCTGCGCAGGCCCCCCCTGGCGCCCTCCGCGCGCCGGGGAGGGGGGTCCAGCGCAGATCCAAGAAATCCGCGCGGAGCGCCAAAAGTTCATGCTTATGGCGTTTTTTTTGTATGAGCTTCACATAGGGAAGTGTTTTCTCCTTTTAGGGTCAAGTCTGGCGTGTCCCTCTACAGAAGGAATATCCAAAATTTAGTGTGGGGACTTGTTTTTGGCATGGGACTCCCGTGGGGGGCCCTCTTGGGCCATTTCAAAGCGGTTCTTCCTCTTCCTCCTCTTCCTCCTCCTCCTCCCCCCATTCATCATTTCATCCTCTCATCCTCCTCATCATTCTTCTCTTGCTCGTCCTCACCCCCCACCCCCCGTTCCCCCTCCTCCTCCTCCTCCTCCAGGCCATAATTTTAGGGAAACCCTAAGAAAACAAAAAAAAAAAAAAAAAAAAAAAAAAACTGAAGTGCTGGAGGCTGAAACTTTGGAAAAACATTGAAACAAAAAACAACAACAACGAAAAAGGGAAGACCCGTCCGAAGGGACCGCCTCATCCTCCTCCTCCCTCCCCCCCGTCCAGCGGAGCGCCATAACTTTAGGAACACCTTAAGAAAAGAAAAAAAATGAAGTGATGGAGGCTGGAATGTTGGAAAAACCATTGAACAAATAATAACAAAAGTGGCACCCGCCCGCCCATGTAACCTCCCCTTTGGGGCGGACGGGTCTTCCCTGGAATATGTGTTTTGTTTGTGTTTTTGGGGGTGTTCCCATGTTTTTTCAAAAGTTTCAGCCTCCAGCACTTGAGTTGACTAGGTTTTTTGGTTTGTTTCTCATGGTTTTCCTAAAGTTATGGCGTTCCTATCGAGAGCCTATACAAGAGGATTCTGACTGGAAGCCTCTACAATCGGATTCCTTTTGAGAGCGTTCACAAAAGGATTCGAACGACACCCGTTGCAATCAGCTTCCTATTGGAAAGTAGTACAAAAGGATTCCGATTAAGAGCATATACAAGAGGATTATGATTGGAAGCCTCTACGCTCGGATTCCTATTGAGAGCGCTTACAAAAGTATGCTAGTGACACCCGTTGCAATCGGCGTCCTATTGGAAACTGATACAAATGGGTTTTCATTGAGAGCATATACAAGAGGATTCGGATTGGAAGTCTCTACGATAGGATTCCGATTGAGAGCGTTTACAGAAGGATTCGAATGACACCAGTTGCAATCGGTTTCATATTGGAAAGTCATACAACAGGATTCCTATTGAGAGCATATACAAGAGGATTATGATTGTAAGCCTTTTTACAATAGGATTCCTATTGAGAGCGTTTACAAAAGGATTCGAATGACACCCGTTGCAATCGGCTTCCTCTTGGAAACCAATACAAAAGAATTCCTACTGAGAGCAGAAACAAGATTATTATGATTGGAAGCCTTTACAATAGAATTCCTAGTGAGAGCGTTTACAAAAGGATTCGAATGACATCTGTTGCAATCGGCTTCTAATTGAAAACTAATGCAAAAGGGTTCCTAGCGAGAGCCGATACAAGAGGATTCTGATTGGACGCCTGTACAACAGGATTACTACTGGGAGCGTTTACACAAGGATTCGAATGACACGCCTTGCAATCGGCTTCCTCTCGGAAACTAATACACAAGGGTTCCTATTGAGAGCCTATACGAGAGGATTATGATTGGAAGCCTCTACACCAGGATTCCTATTGAGAGCGTTTACAAAAGGATTATAATGACACCCGTTGCAATCGGCTTCCTCTTGGAAGCTAATACAAACGGATTCTTATTGAGAGCATATACAAGAGGATTCTGATTAGAAACCTCTACAATAGGATTTCGATTGAGAGCGTTTACAGAAGGATTCTAATGGCACCCCTTGCAATCGGTTTCCTATTGGCAACTAATACAACAAGAATTCCCATTGAGAGCATATATATAAGAGGATTTTGATTGGAAGCCTCGACAATAGGATTCCGATTGAAAGCGTTTACAGAAGAATTCTAATGACACCCGTTGCAATCGGCTTTGGATTGGAAACCAATACAAACGATTCCTAGCGAGAGCCGATACAAGAGGATTCTGATTGGACGCCTGTACAATAGGATTACTACTGGGAGCGTTTACACAAGGATTCGAATGACACCCGTTGCAATCGGCTTCCTCTTGGAAACTAATACAAAAGGCTTACGATTGGGAGCCTATACAAGAGGATTATGATTGGATGCCTCTACAAGTGGAGTCCTATTGAGAGCGGTTACAAAACGATTCGAATGACACCCGTTGCAATCGGCTTCTTATTGGAAACTAATACAAAAGGCTTCCGATTGGGAGCCTATACAAGAGGATGAATAGGATTCTTATTGAGAGCGTTTACAAAAGGATTCGAATGACACCCGTTGTAACCGGCTTCCTCTTGGAAACTAATACACAAAGGGCCCGATTGAGAGCCTACACGAGAGGATTATGATTGCAAGCCTCTACACTAGGATTCCTATTGGGAGCGTTTACAAAAGGATTCGACTGATATCCGTTGTAATCGGCTTCCTATTGGAAACTAGTACAAACGGATTCCTATCGAGAGCCTATACAAGAGGATTTTGAATCCTCTACACCAGGATTCCTATTGGAAGTGATTACAAAAGGATTCGAATGACACACGTTGCAATCGGCGTTGTGTTGGAAACTAAGACAAAATGATTTCTACTGAGAGCCTATACAAGAGGATTATGATTGGAAGCTTGTTCAATAGGATTCTTATTGAGAGCGTTTACAAAAGGATTCTAATGACACCCGTTGCAATCGGTTTCTTATTGGAAAAACTAGTACAAAAGGATTCCTATTGAGAGCCTATACAAGAGGATTTGGATTGGAAGCCTATACAATAGGATTCCTAGTGATAGCGTTTACAAAAGGATGCGAATGACACCCGTTGCAATCGGTTTTGTATTGGAAACTAATACAAACGGATTCCTAGTGAGAGCCGATACAAGAGGATTCTGATTGGAAGCTTGTACAATAGGATTCCTACCGGGAGCGTTTACACAAGGGTTCGAATGACACCCGTTGCAATCGGTTTCTTCTTAGAAACTAATACAAAAGGAGTCTTATTGAGAGTCTATACAAGAGGATTGTCATGGAAGCCTCTACGCTAGGATTCCTATTGAGAGCGTTTACAAAAGGATTCTAATGACACCCGTTGCAATCGGCTTCCTCTTGGAAACTAATACAAAAGGATTACTATTGAGAGCCTATATGAGAGGATTTTGATTGGAAGCCTCTACACTAGGATTCCTATTGAGAGCGTTTACAAAAGGATTCGACTGACACCCGTTGCAATCGGCTTCCTTTTGGAAACTAATACAAAAGGATTTCTACTGAGAGCCTATACAAGAGGGTTTTGATTGGAAGCCTCTACACTAGGATTCCTATTGAGAGCGTTTACAAAAGGATTCTAATGACACACGTTGCAATCGGCTTCTGTATTGGAAACTAATACAAAAGGATTCCTATTAAGAGCATATACAAGAGGATTCAGATTGGAAGCCTCTACAGTAGGATTCCTATTGAGAGCGTTTACAAAAGGATTCTAATGACACGCGTTGCGATCGGCTTTGTACTGGAAACTAGTACAAAAGGATTCCTATTGAGAGTATATATAAGAGGATTCTGATCGGAAGCCTCTACAATAGGATTCCTATGAGAGCGTTTACAAAAGGATTCGAATGACTTTCGGCGAACTCGCAGCTTCTTGCTCCCAAAGCGACAAGAGGGCCCCCCACGGGAGTCCCATGGCTTGTTTTTTTTCTTTTTTTCCATCATGTTTGATTAGTTGACTATGTTTGAGTATGTGTGAGGCGCTTTCTCTTCTTCTACATAGGTGTCGCGCACGGTAAGTTCGCGTCGTGTCGGCGTAGCGCCGGCCCCGCCGCGGCCGTGAAATGCTCGAGCGCCGCCAGCGACCTGGACTCGGCGAAGCTGGCACGATCTGGCGATCGGAATGCCGCGAGCAAAGTCGTCTGTGCGGGGCAAACCCGGCGGACCCGGCACGCCCGGGACACCCGGCGCACCCGGCACACCCGGGACACCCGGCACACCCGGGGCACCCGGCGCACCCGGGACACCCGGCACACCCGGGGCACCACCCAGCGCACCCGGGAGACCCAGGACACCGGGCACACCCGGGGCACCCGGCACACCCGGGACTCCCGGCACACCTGGGGCACCCAGCGCACCCGGGAGACCCGGGACACCCGGCACACCCGGGGCACCCGGCGCCCCGAGCACACCCAGGGCAGCTGGCGCACCTGCCCATGGGACA